GTTCTAGAATTGTGTGGCCCTGGATTCTAACCTGCCCCCCAGAGGTCCCAGCATTTGGCATCTAGGAGTCCTGGTCTTCAGGCAGGGGGCCACAGAGCAGACTTCCAGAATCCCCTTGGGAAGATAAGCTTCCTCCCCAGCTGAGGGGGCCTCGGTCCCTCTGGTGCTGCTGGTGGTCAGTCCAAGCCTTTCTCACCTCCCCAACTCACTTGCCCACCTGAAAGGCAAGGGCTAGGCCCAGCCTGGGGCTTCTCTGCTCCCAAAGGAAGACAGGAAAAGGCTCAATTTTATCCTCAGAAGCTTGACTGAGAACAAAATGATTACCTCCAAACAACCAGACATAAACAGCCAGCAACAGCACCAACCATTGGGGATGGATAATCAGCCAATGCTTACGTGCATGTACGTTTTCTCTTTCCTTTCTTCCTCTGTCCCTCTCTTCCTTCCATTCCCTACCCATCCACCCATCCATCCTCCCATTCACCTACCCCCCAATTCATCCACTCGCCTACCCATCCTTCCACGCATCTACCCATCCACCTATCTACCCACCTAACTATCCATCCACCCAGATAACTATCCATTTACCCACTCATCACTCATTCACCTATCTACCCACCCACCTAACAACTCACCTGCCTTTCCACCCACCCATCCATTCACTCACAAATCCATCCCCCCCATCTACCCATCCACCGATTCACTCACCCATCACTCATCCACTATCTACTTATCCATCCTCTCACCCACTCACCCATCCACCCATCTATCCTTCCATCCCTCCACCTTCCCCAGCCATCAGATATTTATTCCCGGGCTGACTCTGGGCTGAACACTGAAGACATAGCAACAACAAGGCAGATGCAATCCCTGATCAGTCTCTCTGACCCCCAATCCTTGCCCCTTCACTAAACCTGCTTCTATTATTTTCAAGGCCTGGGACAAGAATACAAATGGTAACCCCTGTCCCTAGCCCACCTTCTATCTCTTCGCCCTAATTCTGACAGCACAGGAAGGTGCTTGTATGTCTATGTGTATACAGAAAAACAGCTGAGATGTACCAGCTCCACTGTCCCCCTAAACAGCCAGCTTGACCATGCTTGAATTCTAGGGGAGCTCACAGCAGCCAAGCAGTGTCCCTTCTAGAGGATGGAACAAGAAAGTGCCCCATATAGCCCTGGGAGGAGGTTTGGCTCCATTTGGGCAAGGAATTCTGGGGTCCTGTGTACCCAGAGCATGGTCCAGAAGGGAGGGGTGCAGGTTCCACATGGGCACGTCCCTTCAGCCCTGAAGATTCCCTACCCTGGGGGAAAGATGCAACTGGAAAGGGCAGGAGAAGACCACTTCCTCTGGGGCCCTGGTCTGAGGGCTGCACTGCCTTCCGCAGGCCCTCATGGCCTCCCAAGACAGGCTGGGGAAACCGGGGTCCCTGTCAGTTCCCTTTCTCTGCCTGAATGGCCTTGCCTGCCCCTCTGGTCAGCAGTGAGTCAGTGCTGGGGCCTGGCGGTTCTGTCTGCTTGAGGGTGGGTGGAGTCTTCAGCTCCTGAGTTTGCCTGGCAGCTGGTGAATCAGCTGCTGACCGAGCTGTGCCCTGGCCTGGCTGCCCGGGGGTTTGCCAGGAGGACAGCAGATCAGTGCAGGCGGCCTGACGGGAATCGCTGAGACACAGGCCTGGTTTCCTGTCTCTGCGGGTCAGGATGTGACCCCGGGTCCCCTCCCGGAATCCAGGCTCCGGCCTGCCCTTCAGGGACCTAGTGAGACAGAGCCCAGTGGCCCTCACTGACTGCAGACCTCAGTAGCACACACACTGACTGTCCCTTCCCTGAGGCTCTTGGCTGCCTCCACCCCTCTGCTACTCACCCACAGGAAACCTGAGGATTCTGAGGCTGCACAGATGGACGGGAAAGCTATTTCTCTCTGCCAGCGACTAGAGAAGCCGACCACAGGTCAGGAGGGATCAGACTAGCTGCTGAGACAGCTGCCACCCCCACACCCACGGCCTGCCCACATATCCTCCCCTAGGCCTTTGCTAATGCAATGCCTTCTGCCTAGAATGCCCTGAGCCCCTCTTTGGCCAGACCCCGGGGGCCTCTTCTTTCCACATTTGGCACTCATTCTCCTGACACCTGTAGCCCCCTGTTCACCCTCTGCTGATTCCATCACTGACCACTAGGGCTGCTATGGCCACCTCTGCCTCCTTGGCCTGTGTGCAGCTCAGGGACAAGACCTGGCTTTGACTTCTGTTTGCATTATCAATGCATCCTTTACACAGGCTGGGTGCAGAGGGAGCACTAGTGAGGGCTGTGGACCCCATGCTTAGGGGCTGCCTGGGGAGGAATGCACCTTTCAGGGAAATCACAGGTACCCAATGATGCCAGTAGCAGAGTCTGGAGGGACCACAGGCCCAACACTTGGGGTAGGGAGGCCAGAAGAACAGGCCCAGTTCTATGAGGCTAGACCTCCACTGTCCTTCTAAGAACAGATTCTTCGTCTCTGCCTCATTTATCTTGTAGCAATAACCTCTGAGGTTCAAATTAGTCAACTGCTGTGAAGATGTTCTGTAAACTGTAACATCCCTGGCAAAATGATGGTGTTTACAGGTCAAAATTGGAGCCCAGAGAGGAGAAGTAATAATGGCAATCCCCACAGCTGCTATGCATGGAGTGGTCACTCTGGGGAAGCCCTGCACGATCCTGCTGCATTCTCACACCAACCCTGGGAGGCAGGTACACTGTCATCTCCACATTCTCTGGAAAAGCTAAGGCTCGGAGAAGTGGCAATGCAGCTAGAAGTGGTAGAGCCAAAATGCAGACAGGACTGTCTACCTCCAGATCCTGTGTTCCTAACGCCTACGTCAAGGTCACATAGCAGTGGCACATTTATTCATGTAGGCATCCAAAAATAGCAAAATCCTGCTACTCTGTGATTCTCAGGTGAGCTCCTGAGCCCAAGAAAACTATCAGAGAACAGGGAAAAGGACTACCCTGTGCACACCTGGTGCTGAGTGAAGTGCCGGCCAGTGCCAGAGCTAAGACTGGACGCTGGGGTCTCCTGGCCCCCAGCTCTCTCCACCACCTCCTCAAACAAGCATCCCTTGAAGCCCTAAAGCTTGCAGCCTGGCTCTTTGAATTAAAAGTTGGATGCCCCAGGCCAGGGACGGTGGCTCACACCTGTAATCCCAGCATCTGGGAGGCTGAGGTGGGCAGATAGCCTGAGCCCACGAGTTCGAGACCAGCTCTGAACTAGAGCTAGATCCCTGTCTCTAAAAATAGCCGAGCATTGTGTCAGGCACCTGTAGTCCCAGCTACTTGGGAGGCTGAGGCAAAAGAATCACTTGAGCCCAAGAGTTTGTGGTTGTTGTGAGCTATGATGCCATAGTACTCTATAGGAAGCAACAAAGTGAGACTCTGTCTCAAAAAAAAAAAAAAAGTTGGATGCCTCATGGACTGAGTTCTCTGGGAGAGGCAGAGTGTGCCATGAAGATTCTATTGTCATGAACTTGAAGATCCTTAGAATATAACATGAGTTACAGTGGCACCCCACCATGCCCCTAAAAACCCACCAAGGACTGTCCTTCAAACTCCTTAGTATGGCACCAGGCCTTTTCCATCTCCCCATCTTGCTTGCTCTAGGTGAAATGCAAGCTCCTGCCCCACACTGACCCCAGCTGCCCCTGCTGCGCTGCCTCTGCCTCTGCACATGCTCTGTCCCCCGCTCTCCGCGCTGCCTCCTCCACTCTGGCCCTGAGGCAGCTGGACTGCCTCTGTGTATGGCTCCTCGGGAATGCTCTAGTCACTTGGATCCTGGCTGGCTGACTACACACCTGTCTCTTCTATACCTGGACACTTGGCTGGGGGCCTTCCTCTGACCCTGGCACACTGTTGAGTGATTAGGGTTGGGGATCCCAGTGACTCAAAGGAGGTACAGGGACCTGAACACCAGAGCAAACAAAATGAACTTACAGAGGGCAATCTTATTTGGGATATCATTACCAAATTTGAAAAAAAATTACAATGCCTATGAAAACCACATAAAGTATGTCTGGTACTATCTATGGTTTGAAAATTATCAAAGCCCACAGTCCTCGTGGCAGGCAGGGCTGTGTGGACCGGGTTCCCCGATATTGGTGGTCTGGGCACTTTCTTATCACTGCACAAACACAGAGCAATTTAACAGTTTTGGGAGCAGATTGGCCATTAGTTTATCCTGAGCCAACACTGCTAAATCGCTACCAGGACCTAAGCCTCATCAGCCAGGTGTAGCTCCAACCCAGAGAGGACACCTGAATACTGAGATCCACCTGGAGAGCCTAGTGACAGCCTGGTAGGACAGCGAGCCTCGGTTTCCTCTTCCAGGAAGGGGAGATAATAAGAGATCCCGGCAGATGGGCCTCTGGAGGCTTAAGGCATGTAAGATGCTTAATTTCTGGCATATTGTAGGCCCTAGCACGGTACCTAGAACAGGGTCAGCACTCAACAAATGTGTTATTATTAAGAGGGACAAGCTGATGGCAGGTCTTGGGAGGGATCTTCTGGGGACACTGGTCCAAGGCTGGCATTGCCAGATTTGGATCTCTGAGGGGTCATAGGTACTCAACGGGGGATAGTCCAAGGAGGAAAATTTGGGCTCAACTGAAGGAAACACTCAAAGATTGAGCTGTGCTCCAAGAAGCTGCAAGACCCCATCACCAGAGGTGAGTAAGCAGCAGATCACCTGGCCAAACACCCCCACCCCAGCTCCTCTCCACGCAGTTGCCACCAGACCCAGCCCTTCCCACCCAGGGCTATGGTGGCATCCATGAGACTACTCTGATCCAGGACCCTGCCTTCAGAAATGCCACCCCTTATAGGCCCTGTGAGATGCCCATGACATTCTCTTGGCAGGGGGCCTAGGACTCAGCCACTGCCCCAGGGACAGCTACAAGGACAGCACCCTGCATCTCATTGGCCCTGGAGCATCTTCTAGGCCCCCGCCCCCCACCCCTGCCAGGGATCACTCACCCTTGGGAACTCCAGGAAGAGAACGTGGACTTCGAATTTAGCATTGGGAACCTTAGCCACGCAGCCCTCAGAGACCTGGCTAGTAGTATATGTCACCTCACCCCTCTCAGGGTCCACAGGCTGTAGGTCACAATGGCTGGTTTCTGCAAGACCTATTGGAGAAACACAGCCAGAGAGAATAAGGCAGGTGAGAATAAGGTGATGGCAAGTACAATTTCCAAATGGTAATTAGATAACTTGGTGCAAACCAAAGCCTTCATTGCATCTACACAGCTACCCTACTGGGTGGATACCATTACATCCATTCTGCAGATGAGGAAACTGAGGCTCAGAGGGGAAAAGCCTCTTGCCTAAGATAACAGGGCTACTGGGTATTGAGTTGATGAATAAAAGGATATCCAGTTAAGTTTGAATTTCAGATAAACAATGAGTAATTTTTTAAAGTATTATATCCCAGATATTGCACAAGATGTACTTATACTACACAAATTTTCATTATTTATCTGAAGTTCAAATTTAACTGGACATCCTCTATAGTGTGAACAACTACATCCAACTAACTTTTTTTTTTTTAATGGAAGGCTTCACAAATTTGAGTGTCATTCTTGCACAGGGGCCATGCTAATCTTCTCT